TATTCACGTCAACATCGGTGAATATTTTGCCTCCGGAAGTATTTTCGTATATATCCCAGATCATTTCGGAACGATCAGGGGAATTATTTGATGTGGTAGCTCTTCATTTCCAATTCAATGAGGTTGCTCCCATTTTTTCCTGAAATTTTTTTGGCGATATAAGGGCAGTCCAGATCATTCTTAAGTAGTCCAAAGCATTCCTCAACATTCCTGATCATAACGGAATATTCTGGAAGAATATTCAAGAATAGCCCAGGTGGAACTTTTCAGAATGATTTAGAATGTTCTGAAACATTCAGGACCTTTCGAAGCCCACTGCTCCTTCCAATCCAACTGATCCTTTTTCCTGAGAATAGTACAGCAAACGTGTCACGAGAGGCAGCACTAGTAGTAGGGACAAACATAAACTATTCACATGTAAAACAGTGTTATTTACGTAATATTAATTTATTATTTGAAAATATAAATCTGAGATAAAAAATTATTTTGCGCTAATATAATGCCAATAAAGCATTGCTGTTTTGCGAATTGTACGTCGGATAATCGATATCCGGAAGAAAACGTGTATTTTATACCATTTATAAAACCTCATATTAATGAGGTTAGATGCAAGAAATGGATACATGCTTCGGGGAGAGTGGATTTAACAGGGCAGAAAATAAATAAATATTCATATGTATGCTCTAAACATGAAATGAATAGTGAATTTTTCATAGTTAATTGATACCATTGATTAGAATGAGATATAACCTCAATCGTTTATTAAATTACATTCATTTATTATATTTCATTGGATTCATTTCATTACCATCTATATTTGATTCATATTACACTTGAAAATAAATCTTAAATTCATAATTATTTTAAATTTCTTTTATTACAGTTTGAATCTACCGCTACTCTTTTGCTAGAGTCTGTATACTAACCTGTCTATTAATTCATTTTTTTTCCCAGTTACTTTTAAATTACGGCATACAAGCCAACGTTTTAATGTTACAACATTGTTATCCTTTACAGTTGTGAATTTTAGTTTTGCTCCAGGAACATTTTCTTCTGTTAAAAACATTATTTTTCAATTGTACTTTACCATATGTTTATATGAGGATTAGGCAGTGTTAGTCCCTACCGAACTACTAGCGCTGCTAGTGAGTGATTTTTCGTACTTCAGGAAAAGTACAAAACACAGGAAAACACAAAAAAAAAATTCAACATTAGCCTTTGAAATGGTTCACAACATTACGCATGTTGCATCAATTTGGCCGGTCGCTAAAATTTTTCTTGCGCGACAGTTCCATTTTGCAATAACTCCTACGATAATAATTCAAATTGTATAGTGTGAAAAGTGATTGTAATATGCATCAAAGACAACTAACGTAATGATAAGGATTGATATCGTATATGCGTCAAAATTGCTTTACAATTACGACAATATATGTAACCAATAAAGCTATCCTCAAAAGATAGACATATGTCATAGCGGAATTTTTGGTGGTCCTATGAAAATAGAACAATATGAACCCTTCCTTTGAATCATGCCGTCCATTGGTGAAAACAGTTTGAAAATCAATTCGGTAGTTTTTGAGTTTATCGTGTTCAGACAGACAGATAAAAATGGTGGAGCACTTCAGTTTATAATAGCTTCCTTCGTTTTCAACGTAAAAGTTTTCATCAGTATGAATTAAAATGAATATATTCATAATCATTTCCATAGAACTCAACATTTCAAATCCTTTTGGTTCATTTTGTGAATAAATTGATTTCATAAATATTTGCAAATGAAATCTGTACTTATCGACTATTGAAACATAAAATTGTAATTTTCACTCTTTCCCGTTACATACATTTTCTTAATATTCATCCACAAATGTTCCGTATGCCGCAAGTCTCAAATGAAATCCCAAGAAAACTTGTGCACATACTCTTGATATGACAGACGTAAAAAGAAATGGGCATAATAGGAGTTTTGTCGAGTTGGAGTGGAATTGCATTTTTATATTCTACCAAGTTAGAGCCATTCATATATATTCCAGAACTTCTTTTGAATACAAAGCACCTGGAATTTGATTTTCAAATTTTGGGATATGGAGTTTCCTAATATATTGTTTAGTAGCGATCTACCCCGGCTTTTCATGGGTGGTATCTACGACCCGGTTTCGCACGGATATCATATCTCAATCAATTTACTCAAAATTTCAATTACACATAAACGTTTCTTTTGAACCACTTCAAATCACTCCGTTTATTGATGAAAACCATACGTGATGGAATTGGCTGCTACTTGATGAAAATCTATTGCGTATTCAAGTTACAGGTGAGATTGACCCTGAATAGTTGACAAAACCGCAACACGTGTTTCGCTATATACAACTGGAATCAATATGAAACTTCATGAAATATGAATCAATACTTTTGTTTCAAATTAAATATTTGTGAATGCAAAATGAAGTGGAACAATGTACAAGTTACATAAAAATAAAAAGAAAGGATAATAAAAGAAAATGAACATAGTTTAAAAAACTAAAAAACCCGCTTTTGAAGAATATCGAACTAAAAAGTTGAAAATATTGTTTTTAATTAGCTTAAAACAATAACAAACGAAAAAAACTATTATTATTGTATCTTAGTTGAGAATTTTAGCGACTGGAGAAATGTACAGTAAAATGGAATAACGGGGTCTCTCAGTCAAAAATTCAAAAATGAAAACTCTGCTTTACTTTGCCACGCTTTCGCTTCTAGTGGGAAGCTTCTTCAGGGCAGTAAAAAACAATTAATTGAACATATAAATCGACGAAAAAAGTTAAACATTTATGGAGTATTAATGTCATACCTTTACATTTGTCAAACCAAAATATATGTTTATATATTCATATAGATATGTTATTTTGTTTATATGGCATTTATATTGCATATAAACAATGTTTTTCAGAAAATGTGATATTAAAGATATTTAGATATTTTAATCAATCTACTTGTTTATATTCTGATTTCATGCACTTGACAATGTTTTATCTTTCTCAAAATGTTCACTAAAACTTCGTCCAATATGAGTTTTTCTTTGGACAATAAAGCATATTTATTATTTTTATTACAAACATATATACAGGTGGAACTAATATAAAGCATGTGAAAAATGGATTTTAGCATTACTAGTTAAATATGTTAATGAGAAAAATAGTCTATATTTACAATTGAAGAGAAATCCATAGAACGCAACTTTGACAAATGAATATTATAAAACTAAAATCAATGAAAACAAATACAACCCTGAAAATCTGTGGAGGAACATGAATGAAATAATGAATCATAATGAAAATGAAAGAGATGATATCAAGATCATAAAAACTGAAGACGGAAATATAAGTCATGATATAAAGAGAATAGCAGACATCTTCAAAAATACAACCCTAAAAGTCTGTGGAGAAACATGAATGAAATAATGAATGATAATGAAAATAAAAGAGAGTGTATATTGCTGAAACCCACCACCCCAATCGTTTCAAATATAATTAGGGAACTCAAAAGTATCGTGGATTGATAACGTCGAAAGCAAAACACTTAAACTAGTTGTACAATATGTTGTGGAACCCATATCACAAATTTTTAAACAAATAATAGAAATAGGGAACTTTCAGACTTTTCTCAAAATATCTACAGTCACTCCGATTTTCAAAAGTGGGGCTAGAGACGAAGTAATAAACTATAGACCAGTATCCCTAATAACTAGTCTCAGCAAGATTTTGGAAAAATCATTGAGAGTAAGACAAAAATCCTTTCTTAAAGAGCACAAAGCACAAATTCACAATTTGGATTCAAAGACGAAAAATCTACTCAAAATGCCCTAATGAATTCAACAGATCACATTTACAAAGCACTGGATAAGAGCGAGCCCACAATAGGTGTGTTTTTAGATTTATCGAAAGCATTCGATACTGTTAATAACTCGATTTTGCTGTCATGTCTAGAAAACATCGGTTTTCAAAACATATCTGGTAAATAGGAAACAAGAAATAAAAATCGAAAACATTAAAAGCAGCGGAAAAATAATTGAATGTGGGATACCCCAGGCAACGATTCTGGGACCAATATTCTGCATATATTTGAATCGAATATTTTCAGCTCTGTTCAGCTCATCTGGGCACATTTTCAGTTTTGCAGACGATATTGATATAGTTTACTCTGGAGAAACATGGTCAGTGGTGAAGGACCAGGCAGAAAAAGAACTAGAAATAATCAAAGATTGGTTTGATTACAGACAACTGTCATTGTTATAATAGAGTTATAATAGACCTACATTTGAGAATTACTGAAAGTAATTCATAGAAAGTTTTTAAAAACAATTATGAATGAACTTTTCCATTATTCTAGTCATAAACTACATGAAGAAGGTGGTATTCTTGATTTGAGACAGGTATTTTACAAAACTCCTGTGTTATACCAACACAAAGACAAAATTGATTGAGCAAGCCTAAACACGAACACAATACACGCAACGATAAGAGGGTCGAATAGATCCACTCACTTTGGACCTAAGTCTAAAGGACAGAAATCATTCAGTATTCTAGGACCGATTACCCTGAAGAGGAATACGCCTATAGCAGGGCCCCACACAAAATACATTCACAATATTTTGTAATTAATCTTAAAGCTGATAAAAATTTTTGACTTGACTAGGACCGATTGTCTACAACTCTTTACCGGATAAAAAAAAACTGTAAATGATTTCCAAAAATGAAAAAAAAAACTCTCACACTTCATTTCTAGTCTACCACAAGAAAAAATTATTGAAATTTTTGATCTTGTTCGCTTAAAAAATAATTAGATTCATTTTACTACCATATTCGTTGCGAAAAGACTGTTTATTACTTCTATCCTTGACACGTGACGTGACCGTGCAAAGTACAAATATTTCAGACTTCCTTTTGGACATTTGACTACGTATCAGGACTGTAATATTGTTTTATTTATTTTATCTACTTGGTTTCATTGAAAAACGCACTTACCAAAGAATTCTCGACACACTCTATTCACCTAACACCCATATCATTTTCCTTGTTATATTTGTAATTATTGAGGTTGTTTGTAATGTTCAATGTTGAAATATCAAATCGATAATTTTATTCATATGTACACTTTGATAAGATTTTACATTTTATATTCTTTATCAGATTTATAGACTTCATTAAATATTTCCGATGTTAGGTATATTTTATATTTCAGTTTTTATATTCAGGCATGTTTTTCACCACATACACAGAGAATTTCATGTAATGGTTTTATTACTAGTTACGAACTAATGTAAAATGACAGAGCAAAATGTAGTCATAAATGTTCTGCTACCCGTGCGCAACCGGGTCGGATCGCTAGTCACGAACAACAAAATCGTTTTATTTTCCCAAAATGAAGCTCGCTCAGAATCCAATTCTTATCTCTCGTAGGCGTTTCCAAGAAAAACAAAATATGATGACAAAACGAATGGGGCGCCAAGTATAATGATCACATAATGGAGAGTCGCTGAAATACGATTGACAAAGTATCCCATTGAGGAAAAAAATCATATTTTACTTTGATATGATGTGGTTTCGAAGCTGCACATAATAAAGGAATATGGACACTTTTTAATATTCAAACATATGTTGATTTAGAGATTTCTTCTTCATTTTTTATATCACTCTAGCGTGACTCTGATTACAACTAGTTGCCACGTAGTGGAAACTGCTGTGGAAACCAAAAGACGAATCTTTTTGGGGGTCGATGTCGATGATTGACTTTGAAACTGACTGCCTTGGGGAGCCATGATAGATGGCTTCTCCATAAGGGAAGATGTTATCGCCTCTACTGACTCAGGCTCATTGTTCAAAGACACGAGTCCAGAAAAACATTCGTTTAATTTTTTCAGCTCGTGTTGATGGTTCAATTTTTTTTTAATTAGTTTGGTTGTTGCTTGCATGTTATTTCAGTGTAATTTCAGTTTTTTGCTTAATAAAATTGTTATTTTCAGCTAATCTTTTTAATTTTTTCAAGGATTTCAAATCGATTTATATCATATTAGAAAATGGAAGACCAAACTGATGAAATACACCACGAAACATTGCAACCACCTTCAATTAAAACAATTGTTGTTCAGCCCAGCACTGCTGATGGGAACTATGGCAAAACGAAATAGACTTATTTGTTGTTGGATTACGAATGCTCAATTTTTGGGCTCTGGTTACAATTACTCTCATTGAAGCAATAAGTTACTAGTTATAAAACAATATTTTCCTCATCCTACAAGCTGAATTTAACCGAAGGATTCGAACATTCCAGCTTCTGACTATATGCGAACGACCTCAAAATTTATCGAACCATCAAAGAAATCCAGGACTGCAATGTTATTTTGATGCACCTGCGGAAATATGTCGCAATAAAAGTCTATACTCAAATCACGTTAAGTGACACAATATAACTTTGACCAGAAATAGAAATCCCATAGATTTTCAATACCAAATAGGAAATCATTTAATTAAAACAGTGAATAAAGTACCCGATTTAGGAGTAATAATGGTTTTCACAATGATGTTTAAATCTCATATAGAGAAAACCGTTAATATGTATAATCGTTCTGTTGTAAATCATGCCCTGAAAAAAAAAACGTCGGTCGACGCTAGTAGCCATAAACCAGGCGTGACGTGGCTAAGAGCACACGAGTGTACGATGATTCCCCGCCACCCTAAAAACAGCGAGAATAATGCTGCCGATTTGGCGAAATTTATACGGCATTCGATTACGATATTTGAAGGCTGGCCACGAGGATATCGACACAGAGAGTGATGGACTACTTCTCCAAATGACCTAAAGTAGTAGCTTTACCCAACCAAGAGGCTAAAACGGTGGTAGAGGCCATGTTGCAGAACGTAATTGTCAGACACGGAGTATTCCAAGAACTTCACTCGGATCAGGGCCGCAACTTCGAATCGGATTTACGGAAGGAGATGATGACTCTGTTGGGAATAAATAAGACAAGAACAACTGCTCTTCACCCAAGATCCGATGGAATGGTCGAAAGGCATAATCGCACCATCAATAAATACCTCTCGATGTTTGTCTCCAAAAACCAAAGAGACTGGGATAAATAGGTTCCTCTTTTTCTGTTGGCATACAGGAGCTCCCAATTGAACTGAACTGAAGCTTCCGATAGATGTTTTGTGTGGCAGTCCTTTCGATGAATCTCAATAGGTACCTCTTTCAGAGTATGTGAATGACCTGAAGGAGAGACTGGAAATTATACGCTAGTTTGCCAAATTACAGCTTTCCAAATTACAGCTTTCCAGCGACAGGATGAAGGTAAGATTTGACAAAAAGTCGCTGCCAGAGGGCTTCAAGAAGGGCGATGCAGTGTGGCAAGGACCTTACTTGGTAACCAAAAAGATAAACGATCTAGTGTACAGAATCCAATTGTCACCTAGAAGCAAGCCTAAAGTTTTCCACATTGAGAAGCTGAGTCCTTACATGGGTCGTGATGTCCCCTCTTGGAATGTTGTTCGGGGCGAACAACCTCAGGCAAGGGAATGCCCGAAAGAAAATAACGCTGGCCGCCGCTGGTAGCTTAGAGGGCGCGAGTGTACGATGATTCCCTGCCATCCTAGAAGCAGCGAGAATAATGCTGCCGATTTCGGCGGAACTTTGGCGAAATTTCTACGGCATTTGATTACGATATTTGAAGGCTAACCACGAGGATATTGACACAGTCAAATAGACGTTACAGTGCGGTCCGCGAAGTGATCTAGTGAGGCGATAGACATTCAAATAATAGTTGGAGTTTTAGTTGTTGCATTTAAAGTGAAATAAAGTTGAGTTTGATTATTCAGTATAGTCAATTATTGGTCAACCCACGGGAAAAAACGTAACAGTTCATTGGAATTCATTATCAGAAACACAAGACATTTCAAAACCGCAAAAAACTCTGCTGAATCTATATTACTCTCGTTATTCTCGTACATGTATACACAGTCGTTTGAACTTTGCATTTGTCGTTTAGAGTCCATAGTATACGATTTTCCAACAGAAAATTGAAAGTGTTCAAAGTGCAGTTCTCTTAGCGGAAATCACGTGACAAAGTGAACTTCAGGTGATGTTCAAAAATGAATGAATGAAAAGTGAACTTCAAAAATTGAAAATAAAATTAATTATTTTGGATTGAATTCAACAGATAGAATTTGTACAACACTATCAATCAGAAATGATATTGTATCTGTTGTGTAAAATTAGAAGAGATAATAAAATCATTGGAATTAATTGAAAATGATGAAATGTTTGAAAAGAAGAGAAATATGAAAAATCAAATTTTGAACTTGTGACAATTAGTATAGTTGGTATCGCGGGAAAGTAGTTGAGATTCAACTTTTTTGTCAACAAGAGGATTTTTCTCCTAGCCTCGAAGAAAGAAGCCACGCTATTTTCATGCTCCATAAACTATTGAATATCAAGTCAAAAACAACTGGAATACTAGTATTGTACTAATAATAAATTATAATTAAACTAAATCCAATACGACCTACCTTCAGAAGCCACTCCATGAAGTAAATGAATCAAGAACGTTTTTTGTGGCAGATTTTCGTTTTTCCAAGTCCAGTTTCCATTGGCTTTCATCAAACAACTTTATTGGTACAACATAATTTCACAAGTAAAGAAGAGAAACCAGGTATTTATATCAATAATTTTAGAAGTTCGAACTTTTCCTGAATAAAATATATGCATTTGATAGATCTGTCCGAATAGACAAGAAAAACAATGAATTTAAATATTTTCATAAAAATTTCTTACAGATAGGCAGATAGATGAAGTTGATTCATGCAAGAACTAAAATACCTTCCGAATTTCTTTCACGGCCTGGTCACCATAGAACATATTTTTAAGTCTTATTTGATGTTCTGAGTTTTTTTTTTATAATTTTTCAAACCTTCATCATTCATCAAAACATTGTCAACCACTTTCAAATAATCACTCCTCACTACCAAAATGAACTTCGTATTTTGCTTTCCCTTTAAAACGTGGGATGAAATCTGAAAATTAAGTGTTTTCACAAAGTTACAATAACATAATATAACAATTACGTATATCAAGAATATACTAAATTATTCAAATATTATTACAAAACCTCTACCAGTAAGAAAAAACTTCAACTCAACATAAGCTACTTCACCGCAATTACCATTTTTGTCGCTCCATATAAGCAAACACAAAGAACAAGGAGGTAATGCAGATTGTAAATATCTTCATTCACAACAACTACGTGTGGCGTATTAAGTGCAATGGGGAATATGTAGTCCTGAGTCGTGGTCCTGGCCGTTTAAAGGCAAGACTAATGGCCTGGATTAACGTAACAGCTACGTTGCGGTTATCTCTCGTCGTAACTGTAAACACTACCGCCTCCTGGCCTGCAATTATTGTCACCAGGCATGGCGGAGCTGTTTTAGCGCCTCTGCCAATTCTGGAGGTTTCGACAAAGATAGAATATCTGGATAAAGTGTCGATGAGCGGATATAATTGAATTTTATCTAACTGGGAATGTGCCATATATAAATGAATTGGAGGTTAACAGAAATAAAATGAATAGAAACGAACCGGAGATATTCAGTAGAACTTTCCAGATCTTGCGAGGATTTTGACCTTGCTAACTATGATTGTGATTGGTTTCAAATGTTGTGGACTTCTGCAAACATTCCACATCATTCAAGATTAATTTTAGTGGCTTGGAAGGATGAATAAGAAACATATCAGGTGAAATAAGGAGGACTCTGGGTATTTTGTGTTGACATATTACTTACGCAAAATAAGTACCGTCAACTAGAAGCTGTATGAGGTGTGTTCAAGTTCGCGCGTTGGAAACATATACGAGTATATCTATCAATTCTATCTATCAATAAACCAAGTTGAGCATTATTTTCAATGCATAAATCCCATGGTCCCACAAGAGGATAACCAGTGGCATCCATTTAGTACCATTTGGTTGCGTATAGGCTTCACTACTTTTCTA